CTAAGAAGAATTATGAGCAATGTATTTTTGTAGTAGCCTGAAGAGAGAGACTGCTACAAACTGTTCAGACTAATGAGCCTCATGACATCTTGCAGAGGTGGCCTGTGGGAGGCCTCCAAGAAGATTCTGTTGGATGCTTGGAAACTGGTATCCTGCAGAACAGCATTGAACTAGACAAAGTTAGGGKTTTTTTTTTAGGGCCCTAATTTTGAGCTATCAGTAGCCATATATGATTGCTAAGATACAGAAATATTTGTCTGCATGGTTGCAGCATTATTTGGGCAGCCCTGCAGTACTTTTAATCTCAACTCAAACATTGCACTGTATTTCTAGAATTAAGTTAGAAGGGATTGTCGTGACCATGTATTCATGTATTTCCTTGTAAATAAGCACAAACTGCACTTCAGTCCCTTGTAAATTGGATTAAAGGATCTCTCAGGAAGACTTTCAGGTCTGATTAAAACTTTACAGGATTGGAGAGTGCTCTCTGCTTTCATAATTGCTAATAGAGTAGTTTGTGTACTTAGAACCCACCAGATAAACTTGCTTAGACCTATTGCAATGGATTAGGTCCATTAGGGCAAAAAAAAAAAAAACCACCCCAAAACCTTTTTTCTGCCCCCTTGTTTTGGAGCTCTTCCTCAAACCCAGTCCAGTAGACCAACAGCAGTCATCAGGAACAGACCTAGACCTGCCTTTGGCGGAGATATAAAACTCTGATCTCTGTATTTTGGCTTAAAATTGCCCTGTAAATATGTTCAGGATCATTTTATACCACAACCACAGTGCTGGGGTGAACCCAAGCTCCCATTTCCATTGTAGTGTCTGGTGGCATCCTGGAAGTATGGCTCTGATGCCTTGTTTTGTAGGATTTTGAATTTTGCTGTCTGTTGGKGATTGATCTACTCCATAACCTTAAACATTTTGCTGTCTTTTTAAAGGAGTTATTTATTTTGAGCATGCAACAAGCACAGGACCCTATGAGTAACATGCTCCCCATCACAAGTACATTTTGATACACATATGTTTAGAGACTTTAATTTTTGTTTCCCAGTTGCACCAAATTTTCTTGGTCAAATTATCGTGGGAAGATTAAATGCCTTCCCATGTGCATAGTTGTGTTACATTGGTGTTTTGACCTTTAGTTGCCAGAATAATTACACCAAGACACCAAATCATTTTAGCAGGATTTAGTTCCTGCACAAGCGTATGAATTAATACTGACTATATTGCTGTTATTACATGCTGTAGGTATTTAGCCCTGGGCTGGATGCTCTTTTGGTCAAATTATCAACTTGGTAATTAATAGCTCATACAATTTGCCCCTTTTAGGCAATGGGTATTACTTTTCAGTTACCTGGAATTCCCCTAGTTTTTTGCTCTTCCGAAGTGCAGTGTGGTGTCCAGATCAGTGCTGCCCAGGACTCGCTGTGTGCCATTCTTTTCCTGCAGTCAGCAAACTCAAACCAATGAAACGTGTTTAACTGCATGTCGTTTCTCTTTTATTTCTGCAGGCATATGATGCTACACAGCTTGCGAAATCCTACTCAGGCTCTTGCCTCGACATTTTGATTGACCAAGGCAAAGATGACCAGTTCCTATCTGCGGGACAGTTACTGCCTGATAACTTCATCGCTGCCTGCACCGAGCRGAAAATCCCAGTAGTCTTCAGGCTGCAGCAGGCAAGTGCAGACTGGCTTCTGAAGTCCTTGGTTGTTGGATTCTCGTTTGTGATTTGTGGGTCTGTGCAGCAGGCAGCGAAGTGACTGTCTGTGATATCTGGGCATGCTCTCACTGCGGGCCTGTCCCTGGCCAAGTGAGGAGGAGGGTGAGAAGTGATTCTTTCCCGTTGCGTTGGCCATCAAAGTGTGCATCACCCRCCCGATTCAGCCGTGCTTCACCACTAGGTGCCGTCGTGCCTCCAGCTTGGACAGGCTGATCCCTTCATGAGGTTCGGGCTGCCAGTGCTTGGCTGAAGACAAAGAATTAATAATTTTTAATGACTGTCGCAGTCACTGTACAACCAAAGTGACAGACAGCCTTTTGCTCCATCCCTTATCTGTGCTGCGGGTTTTGTATTAACCATAAAATTTTGTGATTTAGTTTGCATGTGTTTGTGTAAATCAGAGAAGGGGTGGAACTGCTTGACATCCTGGATTCTTTTAAAGATCCAAGTGGAAGGATTGAGCTTTCCTGTAGTGCAGTAGCCCAGAACAAGACTGTCCTGAAAGCACTGGCAACTTCCACTCAGACACCCAATGAGTGGCCCAGCTGTGGAGAGTGAAGGATTTACCCTGGTTTACCATAAACCTTGCACCTGAAGATAGTGCTAGTGAGGGGTGTGGTTTAGAGGATGACAGTACAGCACAGTGATGGAGCAGTAACTCAGACTTGGGCTGTGTTCTCCTTATGCCCTCCCTGTGTTATACCAGGACAGTGCCTGTGGGGGCAACTGTCCTCTCAGACTCCAGCTCACTCTGCAGCTGGCCCTTGGTGTTACCCATCTCTAGCTTTCAGGCCCTGATTTGGGCAGGCTAAGGTGCTTTTTAGGTTCCTAGTGCTCATCTGCACTTGGCCTGTGGCATATCTCTTACAATATTTTATATATATTTCAGGTATTTCTTAGAATGGATCAAACCAGGAGGGGTTTGTCCTTTAAGAGCGCTTAGCATGACTGCTTTATCACAACTGTATGTTCTCTGCTGATTGCTTTGTTGTTGCTCTTTTCTAGGGTTATGATCACAGCTATTTCTTCATTGCTTCATTTATTAATGACCACATCAAGCACCATGCAAAATACCTCAATGCTTGAACTATTTGGATTTGAGTGCTGCCTCACTAATATGAATCAAGAGATAGAGGTGAACTAAACAAAAATCATTTGCTGAAGTAATGTTTGTAATATGGAACTCTTCTGATTGTACTGCTAAGAAAAATAAAAGTCCCACTTAATTTGATGTGTGTGCTTTAGAGTAAGTATTTGGAATGTTCTTGCATGTTTGGAAAACTCTCAGTGCCATGAAGTTACATTTGCTGCATTTTGGCTCAAAATGTAAGTCGGCAGAGGAGTGTTTCAGACCATGAGTGTGGGTGTGTACATGGGACCGCCAGACAGCTTCTAGTGCAAGTGCAGACTATGATTAGCAACAGTATGCCCCTTCAGCTAATTCATTACTGCAGTTTACTTCATCCTTTAATGGTGAAGGAAGTTGTTAGTGGCACAACTAATCAAGCTACTTAACTACCCTGAGATGGTAGGTGTATTTTCCTTGGCCTGTGTAAATACCTTCCAAGGACCATTCTTCTGGTGGAGAATACAGATAAAAGCCATGCACTGTAGTTTATTGTGCTGTGWGTTACGAAGCAAATGATTGGAAGTATTTAATGGATACTTACAGAGAAAGACCTCCTAAAGAACATGTGAAGGAAGCAGTCTGTAGTAAAGGGGATTTTTTTCTCCACCTGCCTTTGATTTTTATAGTATGAAAGGCTTGTACTGTGTTTCTTAGATGTGACAGGACTTGCAAGGAAACTGCTAAATAGATCTGAAAAAAGCAATTGCTGTCTAGATGATCTAATATCTTGTTGAAATCTAGTGGGCTTATTTTACAAAAGATGGCAGAATTTAGTCCTGACAGTTGCAGATATAAAATAGCTACTGGTGGTATTATTCTGCCAGCTATATTGGACAAGAGCACAGATTGTTTCAGTGAACTGCTTGTATGTGCAAGTAGTCAGTTCTAAACAGCTTTCTCATGGTTCAGCTGGACCTGATTCATTGCTTGACTCACTCTTGCCCAGAGGAAATTCTACAATAGATGTAGGAGGGATTTCCTTTTCTAAGCAATGCTGAAAGCTCTCCTATGTCTCTGGCCCCTGCTAGATTTGAGGTTACAGAGACGCTGGTGCTGGTGACAGGCTTAAATTACACATTGACTTTTATCAATCTTGCATCTATTTATTTATGAAGTAAGCCCTGAAGGCTGGGAAGATATAATTGTGTGCATGGCCAGATTCTCCAAAAGGAAATTATTGCAGGAAGAGTCTCTGCTTCCAAAATCCCCCATTAAATGTAAGTACAGCTATTCATTAAGACAAAGATACTCCATTAGCGAAATTAGAATCTAGGAGAATCTGTGCTTGGATGACCTCAGAAACCTGCATGGGAAAGAGAAAGCTGGATGCTGTGACCTTGTTTCTACTGGCTTCTGCAGCCACCGGCAGGGCAAAGGAGCTGAGCACAGCCCTGGCACACTGGGTTATCCCCAGGGCTGAAGCCTTTACTGCACTGTTGCTTGGATTCGGTGCTACCAAGGAATCATCAGGTTTTTTTTGCTAAAGCAGAAGCCTGCAGGACAATCTATGCATTTCATGAGGAGAAAAAGCTGCCCTGTACAGAGAAGTGTAAGCAGTACAAGGAACAACTTTTGTGCATAAATGTGAGCAGGAGCAAAGTGAAGGACACATCTCCTCCCTTCTTCCTGAATCCAGCCCAGCCCTGGCAGCAGAGGGCAGATAATTCACAGCCACTAAATGACTGGCAGGAGGCCTTCGCAACTGGAGGAGCAAAGCTGGGGGAAGAACACTGCAGTAACCCAACAGTTACCAGCTGGATCTTATTCCTGGTTTAGATGCAAAATTCCTTTATTTGCACCACATCATCTTCTGTCCCCAAACCTGTCATTTCCAGTGTTAAGCTCTCCAACCGCCTTCTCTTTTACAAGAAATCATCAGTCACGGGGATAGGCATTAAAGGGTTTCTGCAAATAATATAGTTTAATTGTAACTACAGTAAAGATTTTCTATATACATTATGTTCACTGCATAAGGTATTACAGATTTGCCATGCATGTTTTATTGCACGTATAAATATTGTACAAAGGATCATGAAGATTTTCTTTTTAGCCAAACATGTTAAGACTGCATAAAAAAAGCTGTATTACAAAATACTTAGAGCTATTTATTTACAGCCAACTTCAAGCAAATACTGAAAGACACTATCAGGAAAAAAMCAAAATTTTAATAACAAAAAACCCATGATTTGTCAAAATAATAATTACAAAGCTTCATGTTGCCATATATACATTGTAAAAAAATACTCAGGAAACCTGCATTTTATCCCTCAAGATGCAGAAATCAATATTCCTATTTTTATACTTGATCCTTGAATGCTTTTAAAACTTGATATACTCTGAGTTGAAAACTTATTTTCTTTGCATTGCTCATCCTTTTTGACAAAACAGATATTCTTGCAGCTCTTTAAAATATTAAAATACATTTTCATTTAAAGTGCACAGTACATTTTATAGGAAACAATATGCTAGCTGCCCATCAAATTACAATTTAAGTCAATGTTCCCTCTATAAAATGAATGTTTTTGCTTTGGTTGCACTAACTGGATATTCCATGCATACTGTCTCACTGTCTGCGAGTCCATTTGCCTCCTCCTCACATGTTGCTGTCACTACCTCCCAGCCCGCCAGCAAATGGTGGCACTTAAGTATGTGGTCTGCACTCAAATACCGTATGAACCATGAAAAATGTGCTGCTGGAATACTGATAGGTTTAATGCAGGGCCTGTGAACATGTGTGTAACTGCCTTGAGAGGTGGTAGGGACAAATATGCATCATTCTGCCCCAGAAATCTTCAGAAAACAGTTCTCTCCACATACCCTTGCTTAAATATTTAGTCCACCCACTCACTTGCCTCTTTTTCTTGCCATTCTATATTCAAACTCCCCGCTTGTGTGCCCCCCGCCAGCTTCCCGTTTCACCACATCCAGCTGCCCTGTCCTGCCTGCCCAAATCCCATCACTGGCCTCTTGTGTGAAGGAAAATGGAATGCTCCAGGTATCACAAAAATCACTGCTTGGGAACTGTTTGATCTAAAATGGATGTCTTAATATGCTTTTAAAAATATCTTTGAAAAATTGAAAAAGTGGTGATAAGGAAAAGAATTTTATTTTCTATTGCTCATGTGGAAGTAGAGGTCTGATGCTGCAAATGTGCACTACAGAACATCGTGTTTAATTCTGTTGAAACTTTGAAAGAGAAGCACTGTACCCAGGCAGGTTGGATCTGGAAGGTAAGGCCTGTAAGACTGCCTCTGGCAGTTTTAATAATTTTATCTTCTCTTGAAGGAATCACTGAAGGAATCTTGAAGGAATCCACTGGTTACCTGGTAGATCTTGCTAACATTCTTGTGCTATTTGCTAATATTTTTTCTGTAGTGCTGTAATCTTTAAAAGAAATCAAGTTACAGTGCAAAATTACATTTCAAGACACATGATCCTAATGCACGTATTCGTTTTGTTGTGGCAAAAGTTAAATGTCTTGTGCATAGTAAAATAAGCAATCAAAAATATTTGTTCACATTTATTTTTCAAGTTCTTTTGTTTTTAAACATCTATATACAAATAAAATGSGTGTGCTCTCACTTTGAGCCAATTTAGTCTAGTGAGGGGAGAAGTGTTACTGGAATGTAGGAAACTCAATGGAATGCAGACAATTTTTTACYAATGTTCCACAGATTTGAGAAAAAAAGAATGCCATTCCAGCTAGCTGTTCTTTTAATAAAAGCACCTATTTTGTTTGCTTTTTATCTTACATATTAGAAAATACAATTTATGGAGATCTAGAGCTACTGCACACCAAGTAGAATAAAAAATAACTAAGTATTTATATTAAAATAAAGTGTTTAACCACAAAAAAGCAGTAATAAAATACAGTTTCCTAATTTACATTTTGCATCCAAAGGATGAATAACAACTCACTAATAAATAATATTTATATAAATATTTTATGTCTGGATATTTTTAAAAGGCAATAGCCTGAAGCAACTGCAGAAAAACCTAACATGGTAGCAGTCTGATTTGCTCTCCCTTCTCCCTCCCCCCAGGTGATTACAGTGATTCTTAGTTCAATAATACAAAGATATCTTGCTGCAAGACAGCTGTGTACTCCACACGTTTTTAAGTGGCAGAGAAGTGGTTGTTTTAGCAAGTACTGTATAAAGTGAGCTATAAAAGCAGTGAAGCGCCAACTTCCTCTAGAAAATGTTTCTGTTCAGCTTCTGCGTTGTCGTTTTACACATACATACAGTCTGAAACAGGGGTCTAAAATCGTAAGAATACTCTTGGAGTACTGGAGTTGTTTTCAATGCCGTTTGAAAAGATGGGCAGTTTTTTGATTCTTTCATGGCACAGTGCAGCTGGTAAGAGCAGAGAGAGTAGTTTCATGTGAATAAAGCTTGTTTCACTGTGGTTACATCTAGCAACGCTTGAACTGTTATGCTCACTTTTACCAAGCCCTTTTCTTCTAGGATGTGATGTGGTAGGCAGAGCTTCTCCTAGAAAAAGACAAACAAAGGAGTAAAAATTAGAATATTCATTACTCCCTGCAGAATCTCACTTCACACGATCACATTTGGAACACAAAGCCCAGCAAGCAGGAATCACTTCCTMTTTTTAATTAAAAAGATCTTCCTGTGATTTTGACAGCAAGTCTCTGATTTTGCTTCCATTACACCTAAGAGTTAGCAGGAGATCTGTTAATATTCTGGGCCCCAGAAATCAAGTTGTTTGTGGTCATTCCAGCACATAAACATCTTAGCTAAGAGTGAGGGCTAGCAAGCACAGACCAAACTTTCACCTACAAAGCAGGGTAGCAAGGCATTTGCTTAATTATGACATATGTGTGAGATGGGGGATGGAAAGCTGACTTTCAAAAAAAACGAACAAACTGAAAAACCCCCATTCTCCCACTGAGGTCTAGACAGGTCCCAGGATCTGCACCTTGAAACCCACGCACTAGCACTTGCAGGGAAGTGTGTGCAATGCTGTGCATCCAAGGGGCAAAGTGTTTCATTCTGAGAATTTGCACCTTATTTGAAATACCCAGGAATCAGCTGTATTCACCATAAGGTCAGAGCAGTCAGGGCCAGGATGGGACTCCCTATCTGTCCACAGAGGCTGATATAACAGAAAATAGTCAGGCAGTAAATGCTGTATCTCCTACAGGGAGCAAGGCGCCGACCCATGAATAACCAGAGAAAACCTTAGAGAGGCAGCCCTGTGTCATGACTGGCTCTCTCTTTAAAGGGAAGCTTTTCTTCATGTAACTGGGTATTCTTGTTAAGCAATCAATAAAATTATGAAATTGGGCAGCAGGTTCATAATAAATAAATGGAAAAGCAAGACTACATCACATGAACCCTAATTACAACTGTGAGACTCATTGCCACAAGAGGGAAGCCAAAAGTGTACGTGGGATGACAAAAATATACAGATAAGAATCCAAACAATGCTATTAAACACAAACACATGGAAACAGTATCTGGCTCATGAAGTCCTTAAGTTGTATGTCAGATTGCTTTAACCTTGAAAAAGCACCCTCTGTATGATCTAACCTCTTCCTTCCCTATGCATCCATATGTGACCATCAGCAGACCTGGGATGCCAATTTTTTTGGAGAGGGTGGTTTTGATATTCTCACTATTGAATATCTTAGTTATTCAACAAACTTTAGGCTTTTTATACTACTGATGCATTTCAGATTCTGTTTTAATTGTTTGCCTGTCTTCAACTAAATATTCTTCTTGCTCCTGTAATGTTAACTACAGGTCCCTTTAGCTTTATACAATTCCTGGTTSTTTTCCACACTTCCTCATACTGATTATTTCTTCAATTTAAACCTCACTGATCTCTTCAACCTCTCTTCTCATGACACATTCTTTTCAGCTCTAGTCCCTTCTTTGAAGGGACCCTTAGAACTCCATATAATAGAACTGGTGCACACAAGAACAATTCAAACAGTCTTTATTACATTTTGCACCTATGTTTAACTGTTTTTATCTTATTCCACTTGTCCAGTCTTTGCTCAGGACACCTCCTCCAGTGGGCCACAGCTCTATCAGAAAAGTACCAATATTAAACAGCTGTTCCACTGCTTCTGATGTCTATGACTTTCTTTTGAAAATGAGTATTTCATTTATACATAACCAACATTTAGCTTGCATAAATTTCTTGTCCAGTTCCTCACACCCTGCTCCAGCCTGAATGAGAGGAAAAACTGCAAAATGCACCTATTAACTACTGAACCTGAACGTAAGAGCCAAACTTCATTCACAATCTTGGCATCTGGTATGGTAACTGTAATTTACCTGTATTTTGTTTACATTTTATATTTATTACAGAAGTTGTTTTATTATTTATTATTTTACGTTTGAAAAAATTTTTAAGACCCAAGAAACAACTTAAAACAGGTAATTTTCAAGGAGCTTGGCTGAGTGGGTCTGCAGGAGATGGACAACACACATTTCCCCATATGGAAAATGCTGTAATATTCTTGCTAATGCTGGGTTACCACTTCCACTGAGTTTGTGGATTCTAATTCACTTTGACCAAACAATTGTGGCAACTGCCTCCTGTTCCTGCCTGCCACCCTGCCCCTCAGCTGCAACTATTTGTCCARTCAGGCCAAGGAACTACCCCCATCTTGCAGCCATTCCAGGTCATCAACCACATTTCTGTACCAAAACTATCTACCATAAATTAATAATTTAAGATACTGAGTTTTGCGTTTCTTTCTTGTTTATTCTTCTGACTGAAATACTGAGCTGCAAGCTGTCAGATATGGTTTCCCTCCAACTTTTATTCTTGTGGGGAAAAAAGTGTCTTTCCCAAAGAAACATACATTTTAAGATGCAAACTCCTAAACTGATACCAAATTAGCCCCGGAATAGCTCCATAAGAAGGTAGATATAGTGATAGCAAATAAAAGGGGGAAAGAAAAACCCAATACTCTTCCACTCCAAATGTGTGATTTCTATTAGACATTTTGCCATTCTACTATGCTGGGAACCAGTTCATCTAAAAATCCACAATACTCAGATTTTGATTTAAAAAAAATTATATTACTATTATTTGAGAATCCAAATCAAGACACCTGAAGTGAAATGTTATTCTTTCCATACTCTTCTAGTTGTTTCCACTGTCCTTGCACAGTAGGCTCTTGTTTCACAGATTTGGTAGTCCTTAGGATGCCAAAATTTCATTATTCTTCATGCTAGACAAAAGGCATTTAATAAGAATGCTTGCTGAATCCAGTATCTGAAAACTAAGGGATTGGTATTACATGGCTGAAGGGTAGGCACTGAATCCAAAAACCCAACCCTAAGAAAACCTACCTTGCTAGATAACTATGTTTGAAAATATTCTATTTTGTTATTGAAGTCAGATTTGTTTAAACCACAGTTTATGATGTTTGCTTACAAAAATCTAAATTCCAAACTCACCATTTTTGCGGCACCTTGTAGCATTCACTGAACTATCATGCTCTCTTGTTATGATTTTTGCAGTTGTTAATAAGCATATTTTCAGTAAAAACATAAAGGAATGCATGCTCCATTTCATATAAAAACCCCGTCCAATGACTTTTTTTCCTGTTTTTAAAGGCAAGCATTCTGTAATTTGTTTCAATACAGCACAGTAATTTAGTCTGCATACAGCAGTGTCTCTCAACCTGCTGTATTTACAAGATACATACTCCAATCAGGAAAGCTGTTCTAGGAGGTCTAGGAGGATCACACAATCGTGTCGTAGAAGTGAAAAGCTTCCCAGCGTGTAACTTTTTTATTTATCATTCTATGTTAGTGCTCAAAACATAAACACTTGACAGCCTTCTCTTATGAAGCAGGTAGAACTTGGCTAATATTTTATAATTCTGCAGCTAAACATGTGACTACAATGAACTTTCCAAACTTGACCATGAGACTGATGCCATCTCCTAAAAATTTCCCCTAATGTGTCACAAATAAATTTTGATATCTAAGCTCTAAATACTCTTAAAAGCTTTGTAAATGGCTTTCATCAACCCTGTCTCACATACTTTTCATATCAGAGTTTTAAAGTCACATATTTACTTCTCAGACTAAGAAAAGTCAAATCCTGCCAAGGATGGAATCCAAAGCACATTCAAGAGCTTTCCGTAACAGCAGTTCCATCCCAGGTGTCTTTGTACTTAGGTTCAGCTGCTGTCCCTGCTTTTCCATGCTCTGCCTCGTTCCCTAACCAGCCACAACTGCTCCTAGAAAACAACCAACAGCAGAGCTGTCAAGCTGCAGGCCATGAAGGTTTCAAAGGAGAATTTGCCCCTGACTCTGAGGAGACTCAACCTCGCCCACTTCTCCCCATATTTGATAAAATTTCTGTCCCTTTTACAACAGATTCAAAACCATAACACTTCTGTATAAAAGTGTGACTTCTCTCTCTAAGAACACCCCTGTTGAAACCATCAATGAACAAACCCCAAAACAACAGACAGAAGAATCAGCTAGTAATTCTACAGATCGGCCTAAAACAACTGTGGAGGGAAGGATTGCCAGTCCACTCACAGCAGCACCAGTCTCTCTATTCTCTATGTATGACAAAAACAAAGAGCTAATATATTTTTACTGTCTTTTTTTTTTCTCTCTAGGAATACAAATTAGCTTAATTACTTGTTACAAGAAAACCACCTTCTACAGACAGGTAGAATGGATAAGAATGCTTTCAAACTCATCACGAAGTGGAAGAACAAACACGTCCTGAAGAAAAGAATGCTATGAAGTGCACAAAAAGGAGGCAGCAGCAGGAGGCCAAATCACAAAGCAGCACAAAGAGACAGTACAACAGGCGTACCCATGAATGTGTACGTGTGCATGTGCTTGCCAGATCAAGTTTCTAATCCTGGAACAAAATGTCGGATTTAGGATAGAAGAAAACCAGGAATATACAATGACACTAATCCCTCAAAAATATGTGACACACTTCACATCTATTTTCTCTGACACCAGATAATTTCACAGTCAAGACACAACTTTCGAATCAGTTTATGGCAGGGCAAGCAGCTTGGCAATTCAGATACAATTTATAAAAAAGACATTCCTGCCATAATATTAGATTGTTCAGTGGTAAAATGACCACATCACTATAACAGCAGGGCCCAACTGTATGTTAGTAAAATTACACAGAAATGGAATGCTACAATTTGGAAAGAGCCTTTCTCTTTCTACCTTCTATTTGTAGAAGATGAGATTTCAGATCTACAGGATAAAAATATTAATAAAACAATGAATACTGTAATGTTCAATTTTTCAAAGCACAAATTAAAATCTAAGTCCATATAATGCCTCTCATTTCATGTTTGAAGCCAACTATTTTGAAGAGGGAAGTCATTAAAAGAATCTTCAGGTCATTACACTTAAGCAAACTTATGTCCAATTTTGTTAGGTCAGTTTATGTCCAATTTTGTTAGGTCAGTTTTCTTTCTAAAGACTCAGAAAAGTAAGTTATAGCAAATACTTTTCAC